ATAGTGAGTGTCAAAGTCGGCCATCTCGTCTCTACCACTTTGAGATTAGGCTTGATACTTACTGGGTACATGTTGTTTACGTACTCATATTACACTTGCTGCACTTTTTGTGCAGGATCTGAGACAGGTACTAGTGGAGGATCTATCATTACATACCCACGTCATCCAGAGGCATAGTGGTGAGCTGCCTTTCTGAGCCATTCTGCAGCTACCAGTGTCTCTTCTGATATTTATATTCTGTCTATTTTATTTCAGACAGTATTTTTGTATAATCTACTAGATGCTCATTCACTTGTGACACCAGGTCTTGGCACACACATTGGTAGAGTTTGGGTTTATATTTTCTTGGTTTTAAATTTTATCAATGTATGCTTAATTTATTAGTTGGCTTGCCTAGCTGTAGTGTTGGGCGCCATCACGACCTACAGGTGACATTGGGTCGTGACAATTTAATAAACAAAATTAATTAATTGAACTTACTTGATTTACTAGATGTACGAGATTTGGAGTTTTTGAGCATCTATCATTTTTCCTGCTAAGAGGAAAATGTTATATAGAGGAGTAGACGAGTTTTAAAATGGGTATTATATGTGATATTAAATCACAAAATTATTAAAGCAGAGTTAACCAAATCCAGGGAAGATTTCTTGTAATGACCCAACCGGTCATTTTAACTTTTAGAACTCTGTTTCCTAAAATAAAACTCCCCAAACATGCTTTTATTAATTTATGACTTGCGGAGATTGTTGATTCGGAATTTGGAAGTGTATGGCTTGAAAGCGGAACACTTGGTTCCTTAAGTTAGCCATAAAAGGTCAAGTTTGACTTCGGTCAATATTTTGAGAAAACGACCCCGGAATCGGAATTTGACGGTTCTAATAGGTTTATATGATAATTTTGGACTTGTGTGTATGCTCGAATCGGGTTTTGGATAACCCAAGAGTATTTCGACGCTTAATAGTGAAAGTTGGCTAATTAAAGGTTTAAAGTTCTTCAAATTTGTTTTGGAGTAGATTTTGGAGTAATTGAGGTCCGTTTGGAATTCCGATCCTGGGAATAGTTCCATATGGTGATTTAAGACTTGCACGCAAAATTTGGTATCATTCCGAGTAGTCTAAGTATGATTCGGCGCGTTCGGAGTAATTTGGGAACTTGAAGTTCATATTTTGTTTCAATTCGGTTTTGGGGTGCGATTCTTAGTTTTGTTATTGATTTACGCATTTCGAGAGTTCGAGCAGATCCGTATTATGTTTATAGACTTGTTGGTGCATTTAGACGGACTCCCTCTAAAAAAAAAATACGAAACGAAAACAGAAATAAAAAAAGGGATTTCAAGGCTGTTTTCAACTTCTGTTTCTTTGGATTCATAATTTCTGGGAATCTGAGTGCTATTTTAACGATAGAATTTCTGCCCCCTACTGTTCTGTTGTCCCTGTTCCATTGATTCACATGTTCTGCCTTTATTTGGCTATTTTGAGGTCTTCATTTGACTGTTGAGGTATGACCTTGATTTCAGTCATGTAATTGTTTGATTGGATGATGTAATGCTATGAATTTGCAATAATCTTCTCTTTTTCACGTGTTCAAAATATTTTCCAATATCACTTGCCAAACTGATTTACTTTTGAATCACTTGAGTGCATGAAAGTAGTACAGATCCACGTAGAAAAGGTGCTTTGATGTTGCATAAGCATTCATATTGTAATTAATCCGTGCTCCACATGAATATGATGTTTATTTAAAGTAGGATTTGAAAGTGAGATTTTCAGGCTAATTTGAGAATCTAAAAGCAGTCAGCATCAATTCAGGAATTTGATTAGTGTTAAACGGGCTTGGAATGATAAAACAGTTGTGAAAGAAACTATTCATGCAGCAGTTGCTTCCAAATTAAATCTGTTTCTAGTCTAAAGTTCGATTGTCTCTGTTGTGTAGTCTTGACCACAATTGAATAGCCTAAATGTCCATGACTGAAAGCCATTGGTAACTAACCTTTCCTTTTCCCCATTAGCTCTCTTTACGTGACTATGACAAATTGAGGCTTTAGCACGAAATTGTGACCGGGAAGTGAGCTTTGAGACGAGGTAAGTCTCTTGTCTAATCTTGTGAGGGGAAAATTACCCCATAGGTGATTAAATTAAATAATTGTTGCTAATTGTGGGGGCTACGTACGCACGAAGTGACGAGAGTCCGTGCGTAGCGACTATTAAATACTAAAGTGCGGGTAGTTTAGGACTCAAAGCATGAATTACTTGTGTAAATTATATTCTTTAGTTAATTAATATTTTTTGATCTATATATATATATATATATATATATATTTCGACTTGTTAGGGAAGATATTAAAGGATGAAAATCTCATATGCT